TCATAAAGTCAATAATGAAAGAAGTATGTTTTATGAGATTATAACCTTATTTGATATGAAACCATAGAATCCTGTGGTCTCTCCAATAACTTTCCAGAAACCCACTTTCAAACGGTTGCTGTCTTGTTTCTGCAAAGTATCACAAGATTTTCATCTAAGCCTTTTAAAGTTATCGCATTTACAACTCTCTCTGAAATCGTGAAAATCGAATTTGACCTTCATTTAGTCACATGAAACAATATATCTAAATTTGAAAAGGTTTCCTCAAAGCGTTTTCAAGTTATTGCACGGACACTGTTTGGGAGCCGCCCGGCCGCCGTACATCATCAAATTGATAACCGATATTTTCCATTGGAAATCCGGTTAAAAATTAAACATTGCTCTATTGCATGTCTATTACCTCACGTATTTTTCACGTGCTCCATGATTCAGTCTTGATTGTTTATTAAGGTCACGTTAAACTTCGGCAATAAAACAAGAAACTTAATTAGCACGCAAAGTTTTCACTGAATGAAATATTTTTTTGTCGATTATACGTTATGGATTCGTAATAAATGTAAAAAAAATCGTGCATGAAGGACGTAGTTTAGTATATATACATGCATTTGTTCAATAATTTCCTTAATATCAAAATTTTAAAAACTCGTTTCATATGACTTTAATCAAGATTAATTAATCATTTAATTATCAAGTTTCTACAGGGTAATAGCAGTGTTCCATAGTTTATTTCTTGAAGAATAAACAAACTAGAACAAATGGGTTGCCGTCCCTAGAAATGTCCGAGTTGTATTACAGCCTAAAAATCTAATGGTCATGCGGTAAAAGTTGACCTAAAATGCAGTTACAATCGTATATTTTTTCACTTAATGGGAAATGCAAATTTGTAATGGCTGCTCTGTTAATACGTTGAATATAATTTCTACATTTTATAAAATATGAATTAAATTTTTCCGATCGATTTTCTAAATCTAAACGGATACTGTAAGATTTCTATTGAATAATTCCAACCCTGTGCCATCCAATCAGGATTCGCACAAGATTATATTCCGAGTACCATCTTTGGTAAAATAATTGCATTCTTGTAACCATCTCACCCATCTATTGTTGAAGACAGAATGTCGACCTCGGGATATTTTTGGTACTTGTGTCGTTGTATTTCTGTTTAATTGACATATTTTTCACAAATAAGTTTATTTATATTTTGATTAAAAATTTATGTACAAATTTGTAAAAGCACTCTGAAATATAACTATTTTACTTCAGCTTTGCATTCTGGAGATATTTACTTCAATAGGAAAGACTAAACAGGATTTCCATTATTTTACTATGACAAAGCAAAACAAACAAATTATTGGAAGTTTTGAGTGTCTTATCGTTGGACAGTGTAAGACAAATTAAATTAAAAAAGAGCCACCAAAAAGTTCCAATATAGCTTTTATAGGACATGTATAAATTTTCTGATTCTATTAAAAATCACCAACATTTGTTATATCTTATGATAGTGAAGGCAGAACGTTTTTATATGAGCTGAGTAGTAAAATTGGAAATTTGTTCTCTTCCTTATCTCAACGCTTCTGACAATCTTCTTTCACTCACAGTTAAAAACATTGATTACGCCATTTTTCGTCAATGGTATACAATACTGTTGTAAAATTTTATCATATTAATGATTCAAGTTAACCGAGTAACTAATCTGCACAGCGATTTCAAAGATGTAGCTTTTTTTACATGTTCTACTCCTAACGTTGCCTGGTTTGCCCCCCTTTCCCCTTTCAAAATCTTGGATCCGCATCTGATGTTCAGATCACCAAATACATAAAAAAACGGAACATTAAAGTCTTATTAAAAACTATGAAAATAAAAATAACACTTTATAAATTTGTTCTAAAGTGCTTTTCTTAATTTGCCCAAAACATTTAAGCCAATGACGTATAATCACGTAAACACGTGAAGACCTTTATGACAAAAAGCCTTAAAAGAATAACCTATATCCTGTCGATATTATGTACTAGTACTTTTAGTTTGGCATTGCACAGGGTCATGCTTTTCTCAAACTGTTTATGACGTTATAATACTAAATCCGTTGGATACAACATGATTTATTTTGAAGTCGTTAATCATGGCTTGGAACTAGCTTTCAGTGACTGCGAGTACTCGTACATCGGTACTTTTGTATATAAAAAAAGATGACGTGGTATGGTTACCTATGAGACAACTATCCACCAGAGACCAAATGATGCAGATGTAAGCAACTATAGGTCACCGTACGGCCTTAAACAATGAGAAAATCCCACACCGTACTTGTAAGATATGAAAGAGAAAACCAAGAGCTTTTTTATGTACAAAACAATAAACGAAAAACAAATTTGATAGACAGCAAACAACGATAGCTACTGACTCAGGCTTATGACTAGGGACAGGCACATACAGAATGTGGCGGGGTTAAACAAATTGGCGAGCACTCAATTCCCCCCCCCCCCCCCCCCTTACCTCGGACTGTGGTGTAACAGCACAACAATAGAACAAACTTTAAAGTACCTCCTTACTTTGTCAAATAGGTAAAAAGTACGGAAACATATTTGTGCCATATGAACTTTTTTTAATCTTTGCAAACTTTACTTTTTCAATTTTATTTTAATTCCTTTCTGCCTTAATCATGGCATGATAATGAATAGACCAGTTAAAGATAGATATATATATATACATGTATTCTTTATTCCGAAAGCAATACAGCTTATAGGTTACAATATTACATTTAATATATTAAACATCACAGAGTACAATATAGTAAACATCACATAGTATAATATAGTAATTCATTAATACATTTCATACAATTTAAAACAAATCTAGGAGCATGATATTAATAAATATAATTTAACAATCTTGAAGTATGATATACACTTTCAACATTACGATTTTTTTCGGCAAAATAAAAGAAAGTTGAGTAAACTGAAGTGTCACCTTAATCGTAATAAAAAGCAATGCTGTCATAAAAATTGGTCCTTCTCTTCCAGTAGTCTGACAGCCCTTTACTGTACGACAAACAATCTATCCAATAATATAAGGAACGTGTATTCTTACGAAAGTAATTAGTAACCAGATTTCTCAGTTTCGATGTTTTTTGTTTGTTTTGTTTTGTTTTGTTTTCAGCCTGTTTTTGTGTACAACTTGAAGTAAATGATGAATGACCACAATATTAAGAATGATCGTGATATTAAAATGATAGTAACTTATCTTTTAAAAACAATTTAAACGCAGGATATATAGAAACATGTAAACAACAGGTACTCGGTTAGCAAATTAAAAAAAAAAATCAATGTTTTTTTTCAATATTTTTACTTATTTCCTAAATAAAATTGAGAATGGAAATGGGGAATATGTCAAAGAGACAACAACCCGACGGCCAAAGAGCCGATAACAGCCGAAGGCCACCAATGGGTCTTCAACGCAGCGAGAAAATCCCGCACCCGGAGGTGGTCCTCAGCTGGCCCCTAAATAAAATTGTGTACTGGTTCAGTGAAAATGGTCGTCACACTAAACTCCAAAACATATAAAGGAACTAAACTTAAAAAACATACAAGACTAACAAAGGCAAAAGGCTCCTGACTTGGGACAGGCGCAAAAATGCGGCGGGGTTAAACATGTTTTGTGAGATCTCAACCCTCCCCCTATATCTCTAGCCAATGTAGAATAAAGAAACTCATAGCAATACGCACAGTAAAACTCAGTTTAAAAGAAGTCCGAGTCCGATGTCAGAATAGGTAACAAAAGAAACTAAGCAAAATGACAATGATACATAAATTAACAAAGAACTACTAGCAGTAACTGACATGCCAGCTCCAGACCTCAATTAAACTGATTGAAAGATTATGTCTTCATCATATGAAAATCAGATACAATCCCTCCCGTTAGGGGTTTAGTATCATACCATCATAAAATATATGAGAAGAACAGAACCCGTATCATGCCAACAACTGGCTTTACAATAAATGTGTTTATTTCCAATGTAAAGACCCTATGAGTGAATCAATATTAATACCAAAATATGCAATCCTTAACGATCTGACAACAGTATCGTAACTATATCCCTTCCGAATAAGTCTGTTTAAAGGTTTGGTTAGCTTTTGAGGTGAATGCCTATTTGTACTACTTTATTAACATATTTAACGTTGGAATCAACATTTCTTTGTTTTCTAGCAATGTGCAGTTTACTATCCTTATCCGTATATACAGGAAATAAGAAAAAAATGTTTTTTAAAACATTGATTAAAATTTGTTTTGATTTGCTAACCGAGTCCCTGTGGTGAAAACCTCTGGGACACAATATATTGCTAGTATAATAGTCCCAGTGAAAACTGATTACAAACATTATTTTTTATTTTGAACACAATATTTAATTCTAAAATAGCCAGTGGCACTTTTTGTTCTAAATATCTTTGTTACGATCTGAGAGTACTATAACACTAAGTTATCTAAGTTACGAAACAATAAAACCTAGTGGTCATTCGTGCATGGTTACTAAGTACGTGGGAAAAGTATTTATTATGAAACTTAGAAGGCAAAGTCAAGGACTTTGAATGGACGAGGTGCTAAATCATAGTTAAGGTATATCAATCAAGGTTACACATGCAGAAGGAAGTGATCGATGTCTTTATTATTACATAGTACTGCAGCTAGATCACTTCCTGGTGTCTTTTATCTACCAAATTAAGTAACAATGGTTAATTCGTGCAATGTCGAATTCATGTCACTTTTCTTCACCATTTGCGGTTCGTTTAGGGATGGAAAATAAGTTTTATTTTTTTGTTAACATTATTATAGATACATTTGTTTCAATTTTAGCTGCAGTATAAAAACAATACTTTGTCAATTTCAGAAAAATATCAACGTTTTTGTATTCGGCATGGAACTGTTGAGGGGTTCGGTAAACCTCGCCTTCCCAAGTTTCTGAGCTTCATGCAAAAAAGTTAATAGTTTTTCTGACATTGACCTTTTATTGTATATATACCGGATAAAAAGAAAAATAAGCTTTCAACACATTAGCTCAATACAGTACAAGATGCGTACACTTTTATTTTCCTGTGTTCTGTGTTTGCTCTTAGCAACAACAGCTGGACAACTTGGAAACTTAGGGAACTTGGGGAACCTAGCACGCGCAGGAATAGGATTATCCTTACTCGACAGTTTTTTGGGGGGAGATGGAGGAGGAGGCGCTGGGTTTGATGGAGGTTCTGGTACAACTTTTGAACGAGTAAACCTTATAATTCCAGATGATCAAGATGACTTTGGTGGACAAGACGACTTCTTTGGTGGACAAGACTTCTTTGGTGGACAAGACGATTTTTTTTAGTGGACCATGTTGATGTCTTCTAAGTACTTTCAGTATGTAGAACTTTTGTTGTTTCCAATTTTTTATAGCACTGTGTTGATACCGCTGCTGGTAGACTTTTAGTCCCCGAGGGTATCGTCAGATCAGTAGGTTGTACTTCTGTACTGACATGATTTTATAACAAACCTTTAAAAAAAATCGTCAGTTTATGATAGAGAAATTCAGGCAAAGTTGACTTAGATGGAATTGGCTATTATTTTGAGGTCTCTTTTGGTCATATATCCCTTCAACTGTTTCTGTTCTTATACATCCTTGGTTTTCAAATATTCGGTTTGTGCGTTCCTGATGAAGGTAAATCCAGAAGATGTAATTTTAAAATTTTAAGTGTTGTTTTCATTTTTTTACTGTCCTTATCTAATTTTGTCTTTGCACAGACACCTTTTGCTTTATCAATACGCTGATTTGCTGAAATAGTTCTAGATAAATCTGAATACAGTAACAATTTCAGGTCCGTTTTTTCCAAATTGAACATCGTTTTCATTTTTCAAATACAATATATATATAATTTAAATCAAACAGTTAGTCTTTACAACATTCATTTACTTTTTACCACAACAAAAGTAACAAGAAGTCCTGTAACTCTCGGAAGAGTTTACTGCAGCATATTAGCACAACATAATTTTATTTTTATCTTAGCCTCCTTTCGCAAAACATTTTCGCAAACATCCTGCGATATTTCGCAAACATTTTGCGCTATTTCGCTAACTTTCGGGCGAAACACAATAACGGGGATATTTACAATTGGTCTTTGTTATGTTACATCTACAGTTAACTTACATATATATGGAAGCCAGTTTTCTGTCTTTAATATTTGAAATTAAATCCTTTAACTTCATGCAAAATATTTAGATTCAGCAAATGGCTGACCGACAATAAATTATCACTTCATTTGGGAAAAACAGAAACTATTCTGTTTGGGTCAAAACGTAAATTGTCTTAAATTCGTAACTTTGACGTTACTTGTAATAATCACACAATTTCATCGCAAAATTGTGCGAAATATTTAGGCCTAAATATTGACATTTCTCTTTCTGGAGAAAAAAATTTAAATAATATTATTCAAAAGATAAATTCAAGATTGAAGTTCCTATACAGACAGGCCAAATGTTTATCAGAACAATCTAGAAAGACTTTAGTTACAGCTTTAATTCAATGTCATTTTGACTGTGCCTGTTCTGCATGGTATGCTGACACCCAGCAAAAAATATAACGATAGTTTACAAGTATTACAAAACAAATGTGTTAGATTTATAAAAAATACTGGATATAGATCAAAAGTTGACCATAATGTATTGAATAGTATTGGTTATGTTAATATTGAAAATCGTGTTAAACAATTGAGATTAAACCATGTTCATTATATTTATTACCACCATTGTCCTTATTATATGTATACAAATTTTACAAAGGTGAGACATTTTCGTCATCATTTCACACGAAATAGTGAATATAACTACTGGGTTCCTCCAGTAAAAGAGTCAACAAAAAAGATACATGTTATTTTAATGGCATACACGATTGGAATATGTTGCCAAATAATGTTAAAAAAATAAAGAAAACTAGATTTGCCATTGCAAGCATAGTGGATGGCACCCTTCCCCCGATTGCCAGGCGAGCGGCATCCATTTAGAAAATTCCAAAGTCAAAGAGTGCATCTACACATGCAAATTATCCTTTTTGTAAAGTTTCATTAAGTTTGGAGCATTTTGAAATTTTGGACATTTTTGCTGTTTCCATGGTTACGGCGGCCATTTTGAAAATTCCAACTTCAAAATGCAACTCTGCCGATACCAGTTACCATTTCTGTAAACTTTTATCCATTTTGCAGTGATTTTTTTGGAAATTTTGGACATTTTTGCTGTTTCCATAGTTACTGTGGATAATTCCAAAATTCTAGAAGAGTCATCTCATTGTCACATGTCATGTTATATATCAATTCAGTTTCATTGATTTTGGTGAAATACTCTTTAAGAAAATGCTGATTTTATGCATTTTCCCATAGGGTCAATGTATAACTTGCCCCAGTTTCCATGACAACGGCGGTCATTTTTGACTATCCAAATATTGTCTTGATATCTTAGCATACTGGGTAACATTTTCATAAAGTTTCATCCAGTTGGGTCTTATAACGAAAGAGTTAGAATTTTTGATATTGTAGCTGTTTCCATGGTAACGGCAGCCATTTTGAAAATTACGAAGTCAAACTGCAAATCAGCACATGCCAGTTACCATTCCTGTGGAGTTTCTTTCATTTTGGAACACTTTAATTTTTTTCGCATTTTTGCTGTTTCCATGGAAACGGCGGCCATGTTTTACCATTCCATAGCAAGGTGCAAAACTTCACATGGGGTTCCTCATTGTAGTTGAGTTCCATAAACATTGGTCCGTTCAGTTCTGAGAACTCGCGCGGACAAAATGTGTGGAAGAAAAATAAGAAAAAAAAGAAACGTAGAATAACAGTATGTCACCCCAACTCCGTTGAGGGTGCCATAATAAAGGATTTCAAAATTAGCGTCAAAGAGTACTTGACCAAAAGTTATAGTGCGGCTTCATCAGACTTCTTTTTATATTATTAAACTTATTTTTTATTTAAATTACTTTTATATGAAGTTTTTATGTCATATTAATTTGTGTGTTATCATTTTTTGTATGTCGAAACTATAAGCCGTTTACATGAAGGGACCCCATTGGAAACAAGCTCTGGAGCTTTCATGGGTTATCCCTGATAAAATATTAGCAATTTTTTTTCCGTGAATGGTTTTTGAACACCAGTAGTCATTTTCAGACGTTATGTGGTTGCCTCTTCAAAATTTACTTATTCTTATCTTGTTAAAATCTCTAGATTGTAAATGTAATGTTCTGTGCCCATGTACTTATTTACAAATTATCTAATGACAATTAAATCGGTACCAACTTTTTTTCGAAAACAAGAACTAATATAGCAATTTATCATGCAGAATTGTAAAAGTGGTGTTTTGTTGTGCATTTTTCAATTTATTAAGTGTTGATCATTTATGATCCTGAAAATAAAGTTAATTCGTTTGTTTAATATGTTTATGGTTTTACTTCAGATTTGAAATGAAATACATGGACCCATCCATTTCAACATTTCATGTATGATGACATTGGAATTGCCTTTAATTACATATATTTATTTACAATCCAGCGTTATTATGTCGTTAAAAATGTAAACAACACAACCATGAAAAGGTATCCATATCTGTATATAATTATAAAACATAAGCTTTATGTAGTCTTGAAAGTTTTGATATGTATATAGTTTTCTATTTGTGTTGTTCTTACAATAATCCTATTGTTTTCTAATCAAAAATTAGGGTATAATTTTGCAGAATATAAGAGATATAACTTTTTTTTTTGTGATTTTTTTATTTGGTTGTTATTTTGTTAATTACTTACTTACTTAATGTCCGGTATGCCATTGGTATGTAGGGCAGCAACAATTAAATTTGTTAATTTGTTGTATTGGAATTATGATTGTTCGTAACTTTTTAAGACAAATTCCCAGAGATTGATTTTAAAAGAAGTGTCCGTAACCAGCACTTACCTAACCAGATACGAATTAGAATAACCAAACGAGTTTTACAAATTTCAAGCATAATGCGATTACTAATTCAGGATCACACAATTTTGTTCTATTGTGTTGACTTTTATTTTTGAACCCAGGTGCAACCTTACTGTTCTTTTTATTCTGCATGTTTTACCAGTTTGCATTATTTCGCAAATATTTTGCGTTATTTCGCAAACATTTTGCGGTAATTCGCAAAGATTGAGTTGTTACATTTTTTTGTTTATACCACTCATTGTCATACCTGCATGGCTGAACAAACGTCGCCCTCCCGGAGAAACTTTAGACTCTTAACGAGTGATCTCGCTCACTCATAAAACAAATAAATAACCAACACTAAGAAATCTGTACATTCCTTATATCGTTGGATATATGGTTGTCAGACAAAATGCTGTCGGCTTTGTGGACCGTCGGAGTAATGGGCTGTCTGACTATTGCACTGTAGATATGGACCCATTGTATTGATTTGTACCTTTGGTAGCAACAGTGAGCGTAGTATGTAGTAGTATTCATAGTGTCCGTCGTGTGTTCATTCGTTAGTTAGTCCGTTCATAACATAATTACTTTTCGCAACTTTTCTTAAATTTATACCAAAATGAAACTTATACCACATGTTTTGTGTAAGTATGTATACCAGTGCATCATGTTTGAGGTCTATTTTTGTTTAGGAACAAACATGAAAACGGGTGTTGGGTGAGCCTGTGAATCACTGGAAAATTAACAATAGGAAAGTAAAATTCGTCCCGTTTATCGCAAATTTGGAGATGTATATTACCATGAGTAATTCTAATATTAAAAAAATTCTATCAAGTGCTGATTTGTTTGTATTTATGAAGCTTTGCCGTTAGGTTTGGATTCATGACAAAAAGGAATAAATCTGCAATAAGAGGGACACATTTAGCTTCTAAGGAACACAAATCACTTTGACCTTCACTTTATCTCCAAAGCGAACATTAATATTCGTACTGTACAATTACAGTGGCTTTTTTTTTGTAATATAATAAATAAACTTTATTTAGAGTCGGCATAGTATACAAATAAGGACATAACATAAGCTCTAATGAGCTTTTAACCGACTGCAACACAAATAGTGACAACCAGATTTATCAAAAGATGTTTTAAAAGACCTGCCGAGTTATTTGTTTTCAATACATTGTAGGTCAGGTTATTTATTTTCAAACTACCACAGAACAAACCATTCATTTTTGTTATTATCAAGGCCGAGTAATTTATTTTCATAATGCTCGTGCCCCCTCCCCCCAGAATATCAAATGGTCGCCCCCTAACATTAATTTTATCGACAATCTTCTTCTTCTTCAGGATGTCCACCCTATTTGCAGGGTCACCGCATTTAAAAAATTGTTTATTTTAAAAAATGCGTTATTAAAAAATGCGTTATTAAAAATTTTGATAATTTTTTTTTTTTTTTTATATATCAAGCTTTAAAGTTATGTGAAACTACCTAATATAGAGGCGATGTGAACCAGATGTGGATACCAAAAAAATCCAAAGATCTGATATAGTACATACAATCTAAGAATATTTCCTCTTGCAATAGTATTAAAACATTTCACATTTCTACCCTTTACACAAGTATTCCCCTTTCCAAACTAAAAGACAAATTCAAAAAGTTGGTACTGCTTTGTGTTTCATAAAACAGAATGGCCAACGTAGATACAAGTATCTTGTCGTAAGGAGGGATAAATCGTACTTTGTAAAAAATCTCTCTGATTCAAACAAAAAAATCTCTGAAACTGACATTATCGAGATGCTTGATTTCTTGATTGGCAACATTTTTTTTTACGTTTGAAGGACGTGTTTTTCAACAAACAATCGGCATTCCCATGGGAACCAGCTGTACTCTTTTTCCGAGTAAATCCTTTCTTCATTTTAGGCTGACTGCATACAGAAGCTTCTTAGGAAAAATGAAAAGAAACTAGCATTATTCTTTAACTTTACTTTCCGCTGTATAGATGATGATGTCCACACATTAAATAATTCAAAGTTTTGTGACTATGTTGAACGCATCTATTCCATCGAATTTGAAATAAAGGATACAACAGATACAGTTAAGTTTGCATTATATCTTGACTTACATCTAGAAATTGATAATGAGGGTTGGTTGAGAACAAAACTTTACGACAAAAGAGATGATTTCAGCTTCCCAATTGTGGACTTTTCATTCTATGTAGCAACATTCAAGTAGCGCCTGCATATGGAGTATATAACCCCCAGTTGATACAATATTCCAGAGCTTGCATTTTCTATCATAATTTCCTCGATAGAGGGTTGCTGCTAATAAGGAAGCTATTAAACCAAGAGTTCCAAGTGGTAAAATTGAAATCATCTTTTCGAACATTTTATGGACGCCATCACGAGTTGGTTGACCGTTATGGAATATCTGTTTCACAGATGACGACGGATATGTTCTAAATCTGGGTTCTCACCGATGAATATTCTGCACGACTAAGACCAACACGTGTTCAATGGGATTCATGGCTTGCCATGATATATTTTCAATTGACCCAGATTACAAAAATTGTCTCACAATCCGAACAGGATGAGGCCAAGCGATGTCATACTGAAAGATAGGTCTTTCGGCCAAAGCATGACCACTAAAATATGGCGATACAACTATATTGGTACTTTTCACAATCCAGGGTGCCGTCAAGAATTTGATCATCCAACTTGCAGTCATGTGAAAAGCAACCCCAACACTGTTGTTCTCAGAACTTTATTGTCTCTATTGTCCACGTTTTTCTCTCTCTCTCCGAACACGAATTCTTCGGATAAGCGGTTTTTACAAGAATCTACTTTAGTCTGACTAATCGATTCTTTTCCAATGCCTTCGATGCCTCACACTAAATTCTAGTTGTTTTGTTGTTTGATGAGACTGAAGACGGAAATTATGCATTTGGATATAACAGTCCTCATATTGTCACAAATCAATAACACGAAAATTTATATTTTATTATTTAAAAACATTTTTAACAATCAAAGTCGAATGAAATAAAACAAAAATGTACCTGTACCTGTATCTGTCAGTTGCCATTTGTTTACAATTTCTAAATGAGAAACTGATTTTTATAATTATTATTTTCAAAGAAATATTTGGAAAAAAAACTTTTGTCCGAGTACATATACCGATAATTTTATCACTGATTCCAAAAAGAACTATTTGAACAGATTCGTCGTTTCAACATATATTTTGTTGAAGTTTTATATACAATGTTAATAAAAACCTGTTTATTTTTCTTTTCCAGGTACACTTTGGTGACAACCATAAAGGCCATGAGAAAACACGGAATAACTACCACGAATAAAATTTTGTTAAAATGTGATGTAGTGTTTTTCAAAAAGAAATAAAAAAAATCTTCCGATTCAAACAAATTTACACAATCGCAAGCGCATCGAAAATGTCACACGTCCAATCATTTAAAATATTTACCTTCAATCGGGTTACGGCTGTTTTTATGAGCTCTAAATCTTTTAACTGTAATTGCGTATCCGACTTGTGATATTCAGACGCAATACATTATTTCATTCGCAGAATTCATAAAGCCTTACAAGGAATAACAGTTGAAATTTAGTTCACGAGCGCGTTTTTTTTTTTTTTTTTTTACACCTACCTATCCACACAACGTTACTAGTTTTACAAAGTTTTACGAAGTAAAGTTCAGTCCCGATATCTCGGCATATAATTCTAAAATACGAAGAGATGCATTGAGTAAGGAATTCGATCCATCTAGAATAAATAAAACGTCGTCTGCAAAACTCTGAATCGTCTATCGAAATACCCTTTATCTCATTACTAATACTGACTAGAATGCCTAAAAATTCTGCATATAATACGAAAAGATAGGAAGAAAAGGACTCGTATGTCGACATCATCTTTTCACACGAAAAAAGTTTGACAGACAATAGTTCTAAAGTGACTGCTAAAGAAATGTCATTGTAACATATTTTTAAAAAATCATTATGGATTCTCCAAAGTTGAAATGTTTCAAAGAAGCAGGATCAAATGCCTTTCCGAAATCAATCAAGAGTAGCATACTAGGGATGCTATTTTACTTTGTAAAGTGTAAAATATCATACTTCAAATACATAGCTTATAAAATGGGTTGAATGTATAATACTACTGTAAATATGTATACATGTAGTAGTATACGATCTTGTGATGAATTTTCAGAATTCTCCCCATGTAATTTTGGAGTGCGACAAGGGGAAAATATATTCCTCAAAATAATTTAGAATTTCTAGACGACAAAAACGTAGATGGATTGAAAACTTTATCAGATGAATTAAAAACTTAATTTATTGATTATCTTAAACTTTTTGTAATATTGTACGCAGATGATACAGTTTTATTGTCAAGAGTCGCAAAAGGACTGACAGAAACAACTGGACGCTTTGGCTAAATACTGAATTGTTGAAATTAAAAATGAATATACATAAAAGTAAAATTGTAATTTTCTCAGAACAAATAACATTGATTATAAACTTTACATTGCACTATACATTTTTAATAAGTTTACATGTCTGGGGATCTTATTCAATAGAACAGGAAGATTTGTAGAGCTAAAAAAGCACAACCAAATAAAGCAATATGTGTTATGTATCTGTCTGTATGGCGCTATTAGAAAAGGAAGATTGCATGATCTTTCTGTAGAATGTCAACTTGAATTATTTTTACTTTTTTTGGTTGATAAGTCTGTGATTTTACTAATAATTCGGCCAATGAAAGGGTACATATGAAATTCTGTAAACTTTTGCTACAGGATAAAAAAATCTACACCTGATTTTATAAAATAAGAAGAGTTGTTCAGATATCCTAAATGAAATTCGATAAATTCTGTATAATAAATAACTGGTCAAATTTTTATTTGGTAAACATACCATGTATAAAATATAGATACAAATGCAAGGAAAAGACATAAAGTGGTTACCTTGGTAATTCAAGGCCATTTATTAAATATTCGAATAAATTTGCACAACTCGTTAAGTTTAGACGGGTTAGAACTTGAAATTTTAAGATATTTGACTTGACTAGCCCTCTTTTGGAAACCATATGATAACCCTCTGCACCCGTAGACATTTCTCTTATTTGATAAGCATACTATATTTGCCTACTTTCTTTCGCTTGTTAATTTCTACGTCACCCTGTCTCTGGTGGAGAGTTGTCTTATTGGCAACCACACCACACCCTTTTTTTATGTTCCCAGTGTATATTCTTCAAATATTCTGAAATATTATTCTTTTTACATCCTTTTCAATGTCTTTAATATTACATTATCATGGTACTTTTCGTATCTTTTAATTTAAGTGACATTAAATGGTGTTCCTTTGATAAGTTTATTTCTTTCAGGCACTCTTGTCTTCTGTAAAAATTCTCATTAAATATTTTTGATTGAAGAAATATTTTTTTCTGAATTTTTACTACAGTATTTTCATTTAACAAGTTTATAATAGTTGTATAAACAAAATTTTGGGGCCAATTTACCCTGAATTTGTTTCACTCACAAGGTCAAAGTCTGAAAGTTTTTAAAACCTACTAGTATCGGAATATTAAAGTCCATATAATTTTTGCACAACCATGGTCAACAATTTTACCCATTTGAATTATATGAAAATCTTTTTCAGCACTGCACATAACTGTTGAACACAATTTTACTATTTTTACTTGTTTTTGTGAAATTTTACATCAAAGGGCGTCTCTTACCAAAATAAATTTAATGGCTGTCGTTTGTTGCTGTCTATCATATTTGTTTTTCGTCTATTGTTTTGTACATAAATCAGACCGTTATTTTTCTCCTTTGAATTGTTTTACATTTGTCATTTCGAGGCCTTTTACAGTTTACTATGCTGTATGGTTTTCGCTCATTGTTGAAGGCCTATGTCATTTGGTCTCTGGTGGAAAGTTGTCTCATTGGCATTCATACAACATCTTCTTATTTTATATACTGTGTGTTCAAAGGACAATATATAGCTCTACTTCCCATACAATTTTGTTAAAGTGTGTCATTTTAATACTTTTCTTTATCAAATACTCAAAATTTGTAACAAGTCTGTCAAATTTGCAGTTTCGAGCCATATTTATATATATATATATATATATACAACTCGTCTAAACATCAGCCCAACAATGTTAGATCTGTAAATTTGCTTTCGCAAATTTTTGTTCTTCCCTCGCCGGGATTCGAACTCATGCTACTGAGATATCGAGACACCAAATCGCCTGCACTGTATCCGACGCGCTATATATATACACGTAGAATGATCTTGAAGGAGAAACTTCATATAGTTACGTGTGCATATATCAAACTTTACATTCAGCAACTTTCATTCTTCTTTTCAAATGGCGCAGCCCGATCGCTTGACAATTTCTCAAATTACAAAAAAAAAAAAATAAAAAGAAACACGTTCAGTTTCGGTTCAAAACTATGATTATACCATAATATGTTAACTCACGAAAAAGAAATACCTCAAGACATTTTGTATCTGTTATGTCTGTTTGTTTTGCTCACACATTGTTATCAATATAATAAAATTCTATGCGACTGTCATACAAGTGAGAGGTTTAAGCTGTAAAAGCAGGTTTAATCCATCATTTTATACATAAGGAAATGCCTGTACCAAGTCAAGAATATAACAGTTCAACCAGCGGCGGATCCAAAAACTTTCATAAATGGGGCCCACTGACTGCCTAAGAGGGGGCCCGCTCAAGTCATGCTTCAGTGATTCCCTATATAATCAACCAAATTTTTCCCACAAAAAGGAGGGGCGGGCCCCCTGGCCCAACTCCTAAATCCGCCTCTGAGTTGTTTTCCATTCGTTTGATGTGTTTGAGCTTTTGATTTTGCCATTTAATAAGGGACTTTCCGTTTTGAATTTTCCTTCGAGTTCGGTATTTTTGTTATTTTACTTTTTCAATAGTTTGTCAAACAGTAAGTAAGTAAATTTTTATTTTAGTGACATGGGTAATAACAGTTTAACAAAATACAAATATGTTACATAAACAATAAAATACACCGACCCATTGGGTCTATAAGTCGCTTTCAAAATCATAAAACGTATTTCTTTCGTCACGGAAAATCGGAAAAAAGCATGACTGTAACGGTATAAAATATTTTAATCGCTCGATGATTAGTAGAACGACCTGTGTTTTTATCTAGAAACATGTTACCTTTTATTCAATCGAAAATTCCTTCAAATATATAGCTACTTAAGCCACGAACATTCGGGTAAAATTCATAATGTATATACAGGTAATAAATATCACGCCCACCTAGGTTGAATTTGTAATGAATATAATCATACCCGCTCACGATAGGTATGATAAAATATATAAGTCCGTTTAATCATTTATTTTTGTAAGTTTGACAATTAAACAACACAGTTTTAAGTTTAGTTATGCCTATGTCAATCCAGGATGCACAGATGCAAGTGATCGATTATTAACTATTACAAAACATTATATTATGTGTCTCTGCTATTGCATTACAAGATAAAAAAGAAACCACGCTAATGCTTTCATCACATTAGCTCAGTACACGACAAGATGCGTATAATTTTCTTTTCCTATCAGATTCTGTGTTTGCTATTAACAACAACTGTTGGACAAGGGGTACTAGGAAACGTATTTCGCACAGGAATGGCGTTATCCCATGGAAGTATTATAGTGACAATATAATACTTCCATGGTTATCCTTACTCGACAGTTTTATTGGGAGAGGTGGAGTAGGAGGGAGGCGGCATTTTTAATGCAGGTTTTAGACGAGAAAAAAACGTTCTGTTTGAACGAGTAGATCTAATAATTCCAGATGATTCAGAAAGATTTTCCGACTTAAACGTCTTTGACCATCAAATTGGATTCAACGAGGTCGAGTTCTTCGAAGACGACTTCTAAGCTCTATCAGTTTGTATAACTTTTTCTGCCTTTATCTGATACTAACTTTACACACTCATATTTCTTCTTATCAATGCTCTGGTCCGCTGTAATAGTTCTGAATAATTCTGAAAAAAGTTACAATTTTAATGCCGTTGAATGTGGTTATAAAAAGATTTAATGTCTTTATAAATTGAACATTCGTTTTCATTTTCTAGTTTTCACAAATTATTTTCCAAACAAAAAATAAATAAAATCTAAATCAAATAGTTAGTCTAAATAACAATCATTTCTTTTCACTACAACAGAACAAAAAAAATCGTGTTACTGTTTAATGAGTTTACGGAAGCATATTAGCGTCACATGTTTTTTTTTATCTTTGCGTTATTTCACAAACTTTTTCGAAATTCGCAAAAAAATTCGCTTTTTGTCAATACATTCAAATTCTGTAATTTT